GGAATTCCAGTTTCATACAGTTACTACATGTCATGGAATCTAATTCTTTTTCTTTTTCTTTTTTCCCCTCCAACCATTAAAAAGTGTCATACAAAAAAAAAAAAAAAAAAAAAAAAAAAAAACAAGAAAGAAAGAAAGAAAAAAGAAAAAGACTGCCTGGTGGATTCAGACCCCATGCTATAGCTTGTTGTCGCTTGCATTTATAGGCAAAGCCTGCAGACAGCTTTCCAGGACTGAGAACTAAACAGACTTGATCTGACACTCTGCATGCCCCGTGGTATCGCCATTACATATGCCAGCAGAGTAAAGGCCTGGGGCAAGTGGCATATGTCATGGAACATAAAATGGCACGTGAAAATATTCCCAGCATCCTTTCAAACAAGCCTGTGGCTTCCATCTGTCAGAGTCGCCGAGATCTCCGAGTTGCATGCTGCCTCACTTTGGGGTGGTGTGGGTACTGCCTGTGTGGCTGGGGGAGGGGAGTTTAGTATAACTTCGGTGGGAATAGTGGGGCAAGACCTAGCAGACAGTTCTCCCAGTGTGAACTGAGGCAGGAAGATTCAGCTGGGCCTAATAGCCTGTCCCTGTAATGCCAGCACCAAGGAAGCTGAGACAGGAAGATTGCTGTGAGTTTGAAGCCAGCCTGAGCTGCCCAGTGAGTTCTAGACCAGCCTGGGCTATAGTGTGAAAGTCTGTCTCAAAAAATAAAGCACAATGAGACAGGAGAGATGGCTCAGTGGTTAAGAGCATTGGCTGCTCTTCTAGAGGTCCTGAGTTCAATTCTCAGCAACCACATGGTGGCTCACAATCACCTATTATAATGAGATCTGGTGCCCTTCTGGTTTGCAGGCACACATGCAGGCCGAACACTGTATACTTAATAATTTTTTTAAGAAGTAAGGAACCTTTAAAAATGTGTTGCCTGTAAGATCTTGAACCCCTTCCTGATTCTTCTGCTTCTCCCCCCCCCCCCCGCTCCAATTGCTGATATTACTCAACCTTGCAGCTTGCTCATCCCCTAGTATGTGAGTCCTCTCTCCCACTCCTTTACCCTGACCTTCTCTCTTCCTTTGTTTTGGAGGCAGGGTTATTACTGGAGTTTTCTTGTCCCACCTGGTCCCACCGTCCTTCTTAAGCCCCAAATAAACACACGGATGCAGTATTAGTTATTAAACTGTTGGCTTTGACTAGGGCTACTTATTGGCTAGCTCTGTCTTAACTATTAACCTTTCTAGTCTATGTATTGCCACAAGGCTGTGGCTTCCCTGTAATCTGGCATATTACTCTTTCTGCAGCATGGCGTCTCCTTGCTGTCCCTCTCTACCTTTCCCAGAATTTTTCTCATCTCCTAGTCCTGCCTATCTTCCTGCCTCTATTGGCCAAACAGTATTTTATTCATCAACCAAATAAGAGAAACACATATACAGAAGGACATCCCCCATCACAAGGTCTCAACATGTATCCCAGCTTCCCCAGAACTCATAATTCTCCTCCTGCCCCTCTTTCCTGCATTCCTGCATATGCCATTGCAACATGTCTTTCCCTATCCCACCATCCAGCTCCCAAATAATGACATGGAGACTTCGTATTAATCATGGAAGCCCTGCCTTAGCTTAGGGTTGTTTCTCACTAGCTCTTCTAACTTAAATGAACCTGTTTCTATTAATCTACATGCTACCCCATGACTTGTGACTTTTACCTCTCCTCCTGCATGCCCTGTTCCCTGTGTCCGGCTGGAGACTCCCCCTTTCTTTTCAGAGCACACACTCTCTCTGGAAGTCCCGCCTGTACCTCCTGCCTAGCTATTGGCCATTTAGCTCTTCATTAAACCAGTTACAGTAACATGTCTTTACACCGTGTAATCAAATATCTTGCAACATGCTATCATACCTGACAACTGAGAAAGCTTAGGCACTGAGGAGATGATTTAGCACAGTGGTACTCAACCTTCCTAACACTGCAGCCTTCCTAAATACGGTTCCTCACGTTGTGGTGACCTCCCAGCTGTAAAATTATTTCATTGTTGCTTCATAGCTGTAATTGGGCTACTGTTATGAATCATGGTGTAAGTATCTGATTTGTAGAATATCTGACATATGACCCCTATGGGGTCACTACTCACAAGTTGAGAGCAGTGATTTAGGGGGTTAAAAAAAAAAAAAAAAAAAGAACATTTGCTGTGAAAGCATGGGAACCTGAGTTTAAATCCTCAACACAGGATGTACAAAGCTGGTCATAGCTGTGCACACACAGTGATTCTAGGGCTGGGGGTGGGCAGAAACAGGAGGTGTGAGGGGCGTGCTGGTCTCTGTCCTAGCTCTAGGTTCAGCGGCAGACAGTATTTCAAGGGAATAAGGCAGGGAGTAATATACAGGCACATGAATGCATGTACCCCACCCACCCAGTTGTACGTAATAAACTTTTCCCATCCCTCCATTGAGAAAACTTTTGATTCAGTGACCTGAAAAAATGATTCCCAAGAGATCCTGAGAACACACATGCTATGAATGTTACTTGTTTATATCATACATAAAATAACTCTGAAAGCATTTATAAGAAACTTACTCTGGGGAGGGTAACTGGGTGACTTGGAAATAGGATGATAGTGAGACCATCTGACTAGAGTCTCCCTGTGGCTGGACCTTCACTCACGAGCTATAGTAATTCTCCTTCCTCAGCACCCAAGCTTCAGGGTGTACAGTAGGCACACACCACCAGGCCTGGCTGAGATTTTCCTTTCTGTATTCTTGTGTATGTGTGCCTGTGTGTGTGTCTGTGTGTGTGTCTGTGTGTGTGTGTGTTGGGACAGGGGTGGCATGGTTCTATGAAGCCCAGGATGGCCTCTAACTTGCGGTGTGGCAGAGGCTAGTCATGAATTTCTGATCCTCATGCCTCCATCCCACAAGTGCCAAGACTACAGGCATGTGCCCCAACACCTGGTCAGCTTTGTAGTTTTGAGCCATGTACAGATGAATACTTACTAAAAAAACAGGTAAAAATTAATAAAGTTCATCTTCATGGCCCTCAAAGCTGCATAACAAGTTAACTTAGTTAATTGTATTTACTTATTTTCAAGTGTCGTTCAGGGCATCTTGGGTTCTGTGGTATGAACTTAGAGTAATTGAAGACGGAAGTTTCTGTCCTTCCAGATCCCATCACCCTTCAGGCCCAAATAAACATACAGAGACATATTAATTATAAAACTGTTGATCAATGGCCAGTGCTTCTTACTGGCTAGCTTTCTCTTAATTTTTAACCCATTTCTATTAATTTAAGTATTTCCATGTGGTCTTATCTTACCGGAGAAGGGTCTGGACCTGTTACTCCTTCCTCAGCTACATGGCACCTCCTCTAAACCCGTCTCTACCCAGCATTCTCCTCATCTCCTAGCCCCACATATCTTCCTGCCTTTCCTGGCCAATCAGTGTTTTATTCATCAGCCAATAAGAGAAACATATATACAGAAGGACATCACCCATCAACTAATTCTTTCACAGTGCTGTCTACCTTCTCCCATCCCCTTCTTGGTTATGTGTGAAAAATGAACGATGGAACACTAGCAGTCACTTTAGCTTGAAATCAAAATGTTTAAGTCAGTTTACAATTACCTCTGGATTAGCTGCTCTTCCAGGTCAGATCTTCCTAGCCAGTATGCTAAAATTGGATTTCCTCAGCCTTAGAGTGAAGATTGGAGGGGTGGTGTTGTTGGGCAGAGTCTCCAAGTGGCAGCTTCTTCTAATAGTCCTGTCCCTTAGCTCTAAGGTGCTCTGCAAATATTAATTTCAACATGGGCAGTGATGTAGGAAGTTTGAGAAACAATAAGAGCACTTATTGCTCTTCTGGAGGAGACTCCAGTTGGATTCCTGTCATCTACATAGTGGCTGTAACTCTAGGTGTCTATATCTGATGACCTCTTCTGGACAGTGTGGATACTGCACACCTGTGTTATACATACATGCAGGCAAACATCCATACATGTAAAATAAAAATAAATAAATATTAAAGAAACATATGCTGCATTTAACAATCATGGAAGTAACAACCCAAGTATTTGTGTTCTTTGGGGAGATGTAAGTAATGGTTTGGCCCAGCCCAGGAATCCTTAGACTGTTTTCCAGACTAAGGGGAGTGTGTTATGAGTAGTTTTTCTGCCCACCTGGTCCCACTGCCATGACAGCCCCAAATAACACACAGAGACGCTGTTTTAGATATAAAGCTATTAGCCTGTTACTAGCATTTCTTATTGGCTATCTCTGCCTTAAATATTAACCCACTTCTACCAATCTAAGTATTTCCACATGGTCTTATCTTACCAGAGAAAGAATCCAGACCTCTTACTCCTCTTGGGCCTACATTTCAACATCTCCCAGAAGCCTCCTTGTCTCCTAGTCCCACCTATCTTGTTTTTCTGTTGGCCAACAGTGCTTTATTCATTAACCAATAAGAGAAACATATTTACAGAATGACATCTCCCATCAGAAGTGGACCAGGAATTTCCCTGTGGTGGTCATTCATGCAATCCCTAAAAGCTCTCCCAGCCTCAGTGTCTCCCCACACAAGCCTACTGGTTGAAGGGGGTGGGGGAGGTAAGTGAAGAGTCACAGAGTCACATTTTAGGACCTTTTGTTTTTTCTTTTTTTTGCTTTCTAGGAACAGATACCTCCTGTCCCACCAATTTAAGCTAAGGTCATGCCACCAAATAGGAGTAAGATCTCTTTTTCAAGTGCTAATGATGGATAAAAAAACAAAACCCTACTCCTTTTCAATGGTGTTTCCTGTAGGCTAACATATAAGAACCTTTTGAAATTCAGTTATTACCATAGTATTTACTCTGTCATGTTGCGTCCTGGTGGGTCTGGTGATGTTACCATTGTATGTTCTTCATGTTTTCTGGAAAAGTGACTGAATTAATATGTCAGTGTAGTACTATCTGAAGAACTTGAGAGCTATTAAAAGGCTTAAAAATAAAGTGATCAATTCTCTCTTTGTTCTCTTGACAGGATAATTGAAGCTATCTGCATAGGCTGGTTCACTGCAGAGTGCATCGTGAGGTTCATCGTCTCCAAAAACAAGTGTGAGTTTGTCAAGAGACCCCTGAACATCATTGACTTACTGGCAATCACACCCTATTACATCTCTGTGCTAATGACAGTATTCACAGGCGAGAACTCTCAACTGCAGAGGGCTGGAGTCACCTTGAGGGTCCTCCGAATGATGAGGATCTTCTGGGTGATTAAGCTGGCCCGGCACTTCATTGGTCTGCAGACACTGGGTTTGACTCTCAAGCGATGCTACCGGGAGATGGTTATGTTACTTGTCTTCATTTGTGTTGCCATGGCGATCTTTAGTGCACTTTCTCAGCTTCTTGAACACGGGTTGGACCTGGAAACATCCAACAAGGACTTCGCCAGCATCCCCGCTGCCTGCTGGTGGGTGATAATCTCCATGACTACAGTTGGCTATGGAGATATGTATCCTATCACAGTGCCTGGAAGAATTCTTGGAGGAGTTTGTGTTGTCAGTGGGATTGTTCTGTTGGCATTGCCTATCACTTTCATCTACCATAGCTTTGTACAGTGTTATCATGAGCTCAAGTTTAGATCGGCTAGATATAGTAGAAGCCTTTCGGCTGAGTTTCTGAATTAATGTGCTGCAAATCAGTCCTTGCTCACACTTCATTTGATTGAGAGTTGACATGACTTCTTATTCATGTGTTTCTCCCTGGGTGAGCCCTGCAGTGGTGTTGTCGTCGTGATGGTGGGGTGAATGGTATTCTTTCCAGTTGAAGGGATAAAGCAGTCTACTTACTGAGTAAAAAAGATGGGGGACCACACACACAAAACATTGACACCGAGAGTAAACTTTAGGACCTGGCTTGGTTTGGTCTTGGCTCTGCCGTGGCTCTCACGGTTCTGTTGTTGTGGGATGTTGTTAAGCACATTATTTGAACACTTTAAAGCAGAAAGACACCATTCTCCAAATGCTTTTCCGTCTTAACGAATTCAGAAGAAGCTTGGAACTTAACAGTGTTATTTTTGAGACTAACATTTTCATTTCTAAATGTTTTATAATTTCTCATATCAATGTCAGAAGTATCCTGGAAACATATGTCACATGTGGGAACTGTTTAACAAATACTTTAAAAAGTTGGCCCAAATTTAAACTGTATCGTGGAGCTAGAGACAAGCAAGAATATTATTTGAAAAAAAACTTTGCACACTTCTCTGTCCTCGGCTTAATTTTTGTGCCTGTCACTTCCCTTATCTTAACAACTTTATGTTACCTTAAGTGTGTTTTCTCTTCCTAGTTAGGTTCCTCACTTTCCTGAAATAACTTCCAAAGAGTATGTGATAACGGAGAGAGCTTGTGTTTAGCGTTTTGTTGGGTGATCTTAGAATCCAACATTCAGATAGCCAAGAATTTCCAACATAAAAGAATAACAGAAATCGATTGATGTTCTCGGTGTCACAACCCATAGTTCCCCTGTGCAGCTGTCCACTTTCCCTCAGTACCATGGGTTAAAACATGAAAAGGTACTTATTTAGCCTTTGGCACAGCATCACACTTGGGTGGTGTCTAGGTTGTCATGAAAGGAGAAATGTTACTTTTGTCAGTGTCTCTGTGAGCCAGCTGTGAGCAGTGCAGATACGATTGTTTGTCCTGACTCCCCATCACTGTGAACCACTGTCACATGGACACACTTCATGTAAAGGTATCAGCTAACAGACCACATTGCTCCATCTAGATTGCTAGTGTTAGGCTGCGTACTACTATGAATGAGACTGTGGAGTTTTCAATACATCTTAATAAATCATGTGAACACACACAAAAATCAGAGTCGCTGACTCGCCAATAATTTAGTTTGTGTTCTGTGATCATCGGGGGTGAAGGAAATGGGTTGAGGCCTGGATATACTTTCCCAAGAAAGAATTGCCAGAAGTGTGTGCTAAAGGGGTCCTAGCCTTCATCATTATTGGTAGAAAAACCAAGGCAAGGGACAGTGCAGCTGCAAACCTTGTCTGCTGTAAGCAGGCCAGGCAGTTTATTCTGCACACACCTCTAGGTTTGACAGAAGCTGTCTGCATAGGCCACATGTTTTCCTCATTGCCATGATCAGGTAATAATAACAGCATAATCATTTCCTTTTCCCTAATTCCCTTTTCTGAATTCATGTGAAACTGGCCATAAAAAAACAACAACAACAGCAAACAAAAAAAAAAAAAAAACTCTCCGTTTCTTTCCTACTAGCTTCATCGGTGTGCTAACTTCACACACTAGGTTGTTATTTATGTATTTTTGTTACATTTTAGCTGAGCATATGGCATAGTTTTATTTATTTTTAAGCTTTGTGATTTATGCAAATCGTATGCAGATGATAGCTCATCTATATTATTAGTAAGAATATGGTAACCTTTAATTTTACTGGCTCTGGGATACTTCATGGGAATATGTATTACCTCTCAAGCCACTCAGTACTATTGTGAGCTGGGATGCTCTCGGGCATGCACACATATTGTGATGTCCTCACGGTGTGTGTTATGGACAGGCTGATGTGTGGCAGAAACTGATATGAAGAGATTAGGAGATGTACATGCCTTCATGTACACATGGTTAGCCACACGTGGGAATCCACATGTGAGCTCTGAGTTGCTTTTAGGTAGCCAGTGATGAGGCTGAACTTTTCATGGGGGCTGGCTTTCATCAGGAATCGCCTTGGATGTTGCTAACAGCAGTTGGGCTACCTGCTTATAAACAAAGAGATAAACTGGTTCATTCATAAATGAGCAAATAAAACAGAGTCGCTCTGTCAGCTGTAGGATGTGGTATTGTGTCAGACTGTAGGATGCAGTAGCGTGTCAGGGACAAGTATCTTGCAGCTTTCTCTGGGTATTACTGATTTTTGCTTTATTTATTTATTTTATTTGTTATCTTGCTTTTTTTGGAGCTAGGGTCCATTGCTGTGTACATAAGGCTGACCGCAAACTTGTGATAATCCCGCCTCTGCCTCCCAAGTACTAGAATTTTAGGTGCATGCCACAGCATCCAGCTGCTTCAAAAACAAACCCATGACAGTTCAGTGTTGGAGAGCAGTCACTGCTCTTGCAGAAAACTGAAGTTTATTTCCTAGCACCCACATTGTGGCTCAGAATTGTCTGAAACTTAGTTCCAGGGGATTTGGCGCCCTCTTCTTATCTATGAGCTTCTGCACACATGTAACAAACATACACTCACACAGGTGCACACACACATGCACATAGATTTTAAAAATAAATAGATCATTTTAACCTGGTTATTTCTTCTTAGATGTACTTTAGCGTTCTTCACAGTTTGACCTTTATGGTAGAAATGCTTTCACTAGGACCCACAGCCACCCCAAGAAGTCAGATATCTCCAACTAGAACACTGAAGAGGGAAAGATGCCCAGGTCTTTATTGTGAGTTCACTGCGTTTGAGCATGTGTGATCAATTGCTCTTACATGTAACTTAATTTGTTTTTCCTGAAACAAAGGGGTGGGAGGACTGGAAAAACAAAAATTAGGTAGTATGTGTAAAAGTGAGTATGTGAGTATATAACTCAATAAATTCTCTCTTTTGTTGTTTTTTTGTTTCTTTTTCTTTCTTTCTTTCTTTTTTTTCCCCCTTTTGGGAGATGTGGTTTCTCTGTGTAGCCCTGGCTGTCCTGGAACTCACTCTGTAGGCCAGGCTGGCCTTGAACTCACAGAGATCCACCTACAACCTAAGTGCTTGGATTAAAGGCATATGCCACCACACCTAGCTCTTTTGTTTTAATTATTATTACTTCTGTTGATTATTCAAACACTTCCATTTGTGCTTGGGGTTAGTAGTTACATGTGATTGCACATTTGTAAATTCTTACTTAAAAATGTTAAAAATCTATTCATAGTGACTGTAAGTATATCAAAGTAATATTTTTTTAAAGTGTATTTATTTAGCTGGGCAGTGGTGGCACACACCTTTAATCCCAGCACTTGGGAGGCAAAGGCAGAGGCAGACAGATCTCTGTGAGTTCAAGGCCACCCTGATCTACAAAGCTACACAGAAACCCTGTCTCGAAAAAAAAAAAAAAAAAGTGCATTTACTTACTTTACTGTGGTTATAGTGTTGGGGGTGGGGGGAGAAGGAGGAAGGGAGGGTGTAGGTCAGAGAACTTACAGGTTCTGTTCTGTGTCCACTGTGTAGTTTCAGAGGATTGAACTCAGTACATCTGGCTTGGTTGGCAGCAGTTACCTTTATCAGCTGAGCCATCTCCTTAGCCCTTTCAAGTCTTTGTGTGCACATCCTGCCTGCATCTCCTGTGATCTTGCAGAGTGGAGGTAGGCTGAAGTTGAATGTTGATATGAGAAGAATTTTGATACTTTATAGATTAAGCTTGTTTTTCCTTTTTTTTTTTTTTTTCTTTAATAGATGAAAATAATGAAAACCTCCTAGTACCTAGTCCCACTATACTGCCAGGCTTTGCAGCTTCACACTTAGCACACAAAAACAGGGTATTCTCCTCTGGCCTGACATAGGTGTGTGTTCTTTGTGTAATAAAGCAGACCAACCACACAGTCAGATTTGCAGGAATATTTACAGGCTCTCAGGAAGTTAGGACTAAACAGATGCTGGGGGCCTTCTGGTCTACCTTGCCCCCCCGAGGATCCCACCCAGGCTCTAGCAAGAGCTGAAGTCCAGACTGCTGATCCTTTTATCTATTCCTTCCTTCCCACCCCACTTGGTGTTTTGCTGTTAGTGTTTTGCAAAGTTAAATGTAGGGAGGGTTTCTTTTAAAAATATTTTCTTTAGGGTCTGGAGAGATGATGGCTCAGTGGTTAAAAGCACTGGCTACTCTACCAGTGACCTGGGTTCAGTTCCCTAGCATCCACTTGGTAACCTACAACCCTTCCTAATACTAGTTCCAGGGGATCCAGTGCCTTCTTCTGGACTCCAAGGGCATGAGACACACATACATATGGTACACACACACACACACACACACACACACACACACAACACACACACACTCTAAAACAGATTTTTCTTTAATGCTTTAGAGATTCCTTCCATGCTTTTAGTTCTAACTAAACGTCATTGTTTTTAGAGGCCTTAAATGTCAGAAAAGAGAGTTTTGGGATGTGCAATGCCTTAGGGAATTCAGATTTTTATTTTATTTTTGTTTGGATTTTATGAAATAGGATTCTGAATATCCAAGACTGCTTTCTCTCTCTCTCTATCTCTTTCTCTCTCTCCCCTATCTCTCCCTCCCTCCCCCCAAGGTCTCATTATATAGCTCTGACTAGCCTGGAACTCACTGTGTAGACAGAAACCTTCCTGTCTCTGCCTCCCACCCCCCCCAGGCTGGTCTTGAACTAGTGACTCACTGGTGTCTACCTCCCAAATCTTAAATTACAGGCAAATACCACCATGTCCAGAAGGAATTCACATGTTGAAGGGATGTTTTGTCTTTGTTTTTCTTCTTTCTCATGATAAATCATCCCTTTCCCACCCCCAGTGCTGGAAACAGACCTTATACATGCTCAGCAAACACTCTTAGCGCCAAGCCACTTTCCTAGCCCTTTGGTAGAATTATAGAAGAGCTCGTGTGTGTGGGTGTGGGTGTGTATGTGTGTGTGTACATGAGCGTGCGCACCTGCGCACACAGGCAGTTGGTTATTGTTGTTGCATTGTTTAGGACAGCCGCAGATGAACAGGAAGCTCTGATGGAGAACTCTGGACTGGCTCCAGTTGGTCTGGGAAAGCTTCATCATACACTGTTTGTTCAGCAAGCATTCGTATGGTGTTTG